TGAGGTGGCTGTGTAGCAGTGTTGTGGTGGCCAGGGTGTAGCACTGTTGAGGTGGCTAGGCAGCAGTTGAAGGTGGGTAGCAGTGTTGAGGTGGCCAGGTGTAGTGGAAAGTTGAGGTGGCCTGGGTGTAGCATTGAGATGGCCAGGGTGTAGCAGTGTTGAGGTAATGTGTAGGAGTGGTGAGGAGGCCAGGTGGTGGGAGTGTTGAGGTGGCCAGGGTGTAGCAGTGTTGAGATGGCCAGGGTGCAGCAGAATTGAGGTGGCCAGGTGTAGCAGTGTTGAGGTGGCCAGGGTGTAGCAGTGTTGAGGTGGCCAAGGTGTAGCAGTGTTGAGGTGGCAGGGTGTAGCAGTGTTGAGGTGATAGGTGCAGCAGTATTGAGGTGGCCAGGAGTAGCAATGTTGAGGTGGCCAGGTGTAGCAGTGTTGAGGTGGCCAGGTGTAGCAGTGTTGAGGTGGCCAGGACGTTGCAGTGTTGGAGGTGGCCAGTGTGTAGCAGTGTTGAGGTGGCCAGATGCACCAGTATTGAGGTGGCAGGTGTAGCAGTGTTGAGGTGGCCAGGGTGTCACAGTGTTGAGGTGGCCAGGGTGTAGCAGTGTTGAGTTGGCCAGGTTGTAGCAGTGTTGGGTGGCCAGGATGTAGCAGTGTTGAGGTGGCCAGGTGCAGCAGTGTTGAGGTGGCCAGGGTGTAGCAGTGTTGAGGTGGCCAGGGTGTAGCAGTGTTGAGGGGTGGCCTGGGTGTAGCAGTATTAAGATGGCCAGGTTTATCAATGGAGGTGGCCACGGTGTAGCAGTGTGTGAGGTGGCCAGGGTGTAGCAGTCTTGAGGTGGCCAAGGTGTAGCAGTGTTGAGGTGGCCAGGGTGTAGCAGTATTGAGATGGCCAGGTGTATCAGTGTTGAGGTGGCCAGGTGTAGCAGTGTTGAGATGGCCAGGTGCAGCAGAATTGGAGGTGGCCAGGTGTAGCAGTGTTGAGGTGGCAAGGGGTGTAGCAGTGTTGAGGTGACCAGGGTGTAGCAGGGTTGAGGTGGCCAGTGTGTGAGCAGTGAGGTGGCCAGGGTGTAGCAGTGTTGAGGTGGCCAGTGTAGCAGTGTTGATTTGGCCAGGTGTAGCAGTGTTGAGATGGGCAGGGAGTAGCAGTGTTGAGGTGGCGGGTGGAGCAGTGTTGAGGTGGCCAGGTGCAGCAGTATTGAGTTGGCCAGGGAGTAGCAGTGTTGAGGTGGCCAGGTGTAGTAGTGTTAAGGGGTGGCCAGATGCACCAGGTATTGAGGTGGCCAGGGTGTAGCGAGTGTTGAGGTGGCCAAGGTGTCACGAGGTTGAGGTGGCCAGTGTGTGGCAGCAGTGTTGAGGTGGCCAGGTGTAGCAGGTTGTGGTGGCCAGGATGTAGCACTGTTGGAGGTGGCCAGGTGCAGCAGTAAGCGAGGTGGCCAAGGTGTAGCAGTGTTGAGGTGGCTAGGTGTGCAGGCAGTGTGCTGTAGCAGTATTGAGGTGGCCAGGTTTATCAGTGTTGAGGTGGCCAGGTGTAGCAGTGTTGAGGAGGCCAGAATGTAGCAGCATTGGAGGTGGCCAGGATGTAAGGTTGAGGTGGCCAGTGTGAAACAGGTGGGCTAGGTGCAGCAGCATTGGAGGTACAGGAGTAGCAGTGTTGAGATGGGCAGGGTGTATCAGTGTTGAGGTGGGTAATGGTTGAGATGGGCAGGTGTAGCAGTGTTGAGGTGGCAGGAGGAGCAGTGTTGAGGTGGCCAGGTAGCAGGATTGAGGTGGCCAGGGAGGCATGAGTGCCAGGTGTAGCAGTGTTGAGGTGGCCAGGGTGTAGCAGTGTTGAGGTGGCCAGGACGTTGCAGTATTGAGGTGGCCAGTGTGTATGTTCAGGTGGCCAGGATGAACCAGGCATTGAGGTGGCCAGGGTAGCAGTGTTGAGGTGGCCAGGGTGTCACAGGTTGGAGGTGGCCAGGTGTGCAAGGTGAGTTGGGCAGTGTTGTGGGTGGCCAGGGTGTGACTCTGTTGGGAGGTGGCCAGGTGCTGGAGGGGCCAGGTGTAGCAGTGTTGAGGTGGCCAGGTGTAGCAGTGTTGAGGTGGCCAGGGTGTAGCAGTATTAAGATGGCCAGGGTTATCAGTGTTGGTGGGCCAGGAGTAGCAGGCGAGGTGACAGGGTGTAGCAGTCTGAGGTTGCCAGGGTGTAGCAGTGTTGAGGTGGCCAGGTGTAGCAGTGTTGGAGATGGCCAGGTGTATCAGTGTTGAGGTGGCCACGGTGTAGCAGTGTTAGGATGGCCAGGGTGCAGCAGTTGAGGTGGCCAGGTGTAGCAGTGTTGAGGTGGCCAGGGTGTAGCAGTGTTGAGGTGACAGGGGTGTAGCAGTAGTTGAGGTGGGCTGTGCAGTGGCATGGAGGTGGCCAGGATGTAGTAGTGTTGAAAATAGTGTGGAACAGTGTTGAGGTGGCCAGGGTGGGGGCATTAGAGATGGGCAGGTGGAAGATGAGGTGGCAAGAGTGGAGCAGTGTTGAGGGCTAGGTGCAGCAGTATTGAGTTGGCCAGAGTAGCAGTGTTGAGGTGGCCAGGTGTGTGTGGGAGGTGGCCAGGGTGTAGCAGTGTTGAGGTAGCAGGGCGTTGCAGTGTTGAGGTGCCAGTGTGTAGCAGTGAGGTGGGCCAGGATGCAGCAGGAGTGTGGCCAGGGTGTAGCAGTGTTGAGGTGAGGGTGTAACAGTGTTGAGGTGCAGGTTGTAGCAGTGTTGAGTGTGGCCAGGGTGCAGTGTTGTGGTGGCAGGATGTAGCAGTGTTGAGGTGGCCAGGTGTAGCAGTGTTGAGGTGGCCAGGGTGCCCAGTGTTGAGGTGGCCTGCAAGCAGTATTGAGATGGCCAGGGTGTATCAGCATGAGGTGGCCAGGTAGTTGCGTTGAGGTGGCCAGGGTGTAGCTGTTGAGGTGGCCAGGGTGTAGCAGCTGAGGCAGCCGGGGTGTAGCAGTATTGAGGTGGCCACGAGACAGTGTTGAGGTGGCAGGGTGTGCAGTGTTGAGGTGGCCAGGGTGTAGCAGTGTTGAGGCCAGGTGTGGCAGTGTTGAGGTGGCCTGGTGTAGCAGTATTGAGGTGGCCAGGGTGTAGCAGTGTTGAGGTGGCCAGGTGTAGCAGTGTTGAGGTGGCCAGGTGCAGCAGTGTTGAGGTGCAAGTGAACAGTGTTGAGGTGGCCAGGTGTAGCAGTGTTGAGGTGGCAAGGCGTTGCAGTGTTGAGGTGGCTAGGTGTAGCAGTGTGAGGTGGCCAGGATGGGTGCAGCATTGGAGGTGGCTAGGTGTAGCAGTGTTGAGGAGCCAGGTGTCGAGTGTTGAGGTGGCCAGGGTGTAGCAGTGTTGAGTTGGCCAGGTGTAGCAGTGTTGTGGTGGCCAGGATGTAGCAGTGTTGAGGTGGCCAGGTGCAGCAGTAGTTGAGGTGGCCAGGTGTAGCAGGTTGAGGCCAGGGTGTGCAGTGTTGAGGTATAGGTGCAGCAGGTTGTAGCAGGGTGTAGCAGTGTTGAGGTGGCCAGGTGTAGCAGTGTTGAGGTGGCCAGGTGTAGCAGTGTTGAGGTGGCCTGTAGCAGTGTTGAGGTGGCCAGGTGTAGCAGTGTTGAAGTGGCCAGGGTGTATCAGGGTTGAGGTGTCCACGGTGTAGCAGTGTTGAGGTGGCCAGGTGTAGCAGTGTTGAGGTGGCCAGGGTGTAGCAGTGTTGAGTTGACCGGTGGTGTAGTGCAGTGAGGTGGCAGTATTAGTGTTGGGAGGTGGCCAGGGTGTAGCAGTGTTGAGGTGGCCAGGGTCTAGCAGTGTTGGAGGTGGCCAGGGTGCAGCAGTAGGTTGAGGTGGCCAGGGTGATACTGGAGGTGCCAGGGTAGCAGTGTTGAGGTGCAGGTGTGTAGTGTTGAGGCCAGGGTGTAGCAGGTTGAGGTGGCCAGGTGTACTGTTGAGGTGACATGGTGTAGCAGTGTTGAGGTGGCCAGGGTGCAGCAGAATTGAGGTGGCCTGTGTAGCAGTGTTGAGGTGGCCAGGGTGTAGCAGTGTTGAGTTGACCAGGTGTAGCAGTGTTGAGGACCAGTGTGTATTAGTGTTGGAGGTGGCCAGGTGTAGCAGTGTTGAGGTGGCCAGCAGTGTTGGGAGGTGGCCAGGTGCAGCAGTGTTGAGGTGGCCAGGGTGTAGCAGTGTTGAGGTGGCCAGGTGTGCAGTGTTGGAGGTGACCAGGGTGTAGCAGTGTTGAGGAACCAGGGTGTAGCAGTGTTGAGGTGACCAGGGTGGAAAGGTTGAGGTGGCCAGGGTAGCAGTGTTGGAGTGACCAGGGTGTAGCAGTGTTGAGGTGACCAGGTGGGAGTTGAGGTGGCCAGGGTGTAGCAGTGTTGAGGCGGTCAGGTTTATAACGTTGTTTTAGTTATTTAGCGGGTTGCTTTTTGTCTGCGATTGTCTTTCACTTCTTTCTTTCACGCTGTCTGCCTGTCTGTCTGTCTGTTCATTTGCCTGTTCGCTTCTCTCTCTCTCTCCCTCATCTTTGTGTGTCTGTGTGTCAGTCTTCCCCCTCTAACATTTCGCCTGATGTTCTGACCTTAACAGTGTTCCGTCATCATCAAATTCTCAAGATACTCTTACTTGTTGTCTAAGTTAACAGGCTCTTTAGTGCTCATCTATCCTATTCAGCGTATCTGAGTTGGCTGGTAGACGGTAATCACGACAGACAGACAGACAGACAGATTATTAGACAGCGAGATAATCAGATATATAAGTAGATAGGCAGAGTAACAGATAAACAGACAGACACATACGCAAACAATCAGCAGCGATCGCTATATCCTAGCCTACTCTAAAACAGTCTAACCTAACCTCACAATCTAAACCAATTTAATCAAAACCTAACCTAATCTAATCTAACCTAACCTAACCTAACCTAACCTAACCTAACCTAACCTAACCTAACCTAACCCACCATAAACTAACTATAAAAACACTAACTTAAGACAAGACCCTTCAGGTGAGCTACACGGGTGCTCGTTTTCTTTTCATATATAATTCAGGTGATCTGGTGACAAAGTTTTTTCTCGTCTATTTTACCAGAACTGTAGACGCCCAAGACGATGCCGTATTTTTTTTTTTTTTTTAGAGCCTGTTGGTCAACTTCCTCAACCACCTTTTCTGGTTTTTTTTTTCTTTTATTCTTTTTCATCTTTTATTTCCGGTTCCTTTTTGTTTTGTCTTCGTGTTTTTAGTTTATATGTTTTCTTATTTGTCTTTTCATCTTAATATTATTTCTTATTTTCTTCACCCCTTTCTTGTTCTTGTTGTTATTCTTATTCTTGTTATTCTTCTCTCTCGCTGTTCTTTTCCTTCCTTTTTCTTTTTTTATGTTTTTATTTAATCCCACAGTTTGTACCAATATTACCATCACTATCATCTATAACAACCACCATCACTGCCACCACCAGCAACAGTTACCACCCACCTACGACCTATCACCATCACTACCTACCCCTACCACCATTACAGCCACCTACAGTCGCCGCCACCACCACTCCCACGCCGCTGCCGCCGTTGCCACCACCACCACCAATCACCACCACTACTAACACCATCTACTACCTTTACTACCAATCCTACCAATCACCAACACCACTACCACAAATCACCACCAACACCAATCAAAACCGCCACCAAAACCACCACCACCGCTACCGTCCACCACCACTATCCACCACCTCCAACCACCACCCACCACCCGCCGCTCGTTGCTGCCGCCACTGCTCAGCCGCCGCTGCCGCCGCCGTTATTCAAACGCAGCCACTACCACCACCACCACTATAACAATGTCTGTTTTTTTTGGAGTAGTTTGCGCCATGTTAAGAGAAAAGCAGAAAATTCGGCTTAGACAAAGATTACCTGCCATAGAACAGCACAAGTTTCCGGCCAAGCATGAGCCAATCACAGTGGCCTGTGAGTGTGGTGTCATGGGCCTAACTGTGCTGATTGGATGGAGGCTGAGTTCATGCCCCACCAAGGCCACCAAGAGGGTCACCCGTTCTCAAACCGACTGTCTGTGTTGGAATTTTGTGCAGAGAAGTTTGGAACGTCTGTGGTGGCGACATGGCAGGTATTTGGGTGTATTGTATTTGGTAAATCGTTAAGTTCCCATTTGTTGTGAGAAACGTGGCCCCATTTAACTTGCTGGGAGCAAAGGTTTAGTGTTTTGAAGTGTAATTGCTAAACCTTAATAGAAAGTATTAAATAAATGCAGTAACTGTTACTAAGAGTCCTAATTCATCCCTCCCTTATTGAGAACGGTTGATTTGTTATAAGTGTCTTGGTGGTATGCAGTGATACAGTGACCCATTAGTAGTAACATAGCCATACCCAGTGCCCTCTAGGGTCTTAGTTATCGCATGTTACCCTTATTTCCCAGTTATCTTTATGTCTCGCCTTCTTCCCTCTCCCCTTGGTGTGAGGGCGGCCTAACCACTGGCCGTTACCTTGTAGTGGACGTCTCCCCTACAAACTGCGTAGCAGCTCACCACCTGCTATCACATTCCAACGTGCTGTTGCCTAGCAACGAAACTATTCACCGGCGACCTCTAGGGTTTTCCCAACATGACTCATAGCGGTTGCTGGGTATATAAGCTCTGTCTCTCCATTGAGATTCAGTCTGACCAATCTTCTTGAACAGGCAACACCTCCTCCTCTGCCGCTGCCTGGCTGCCTTAGCTCCTCCTCGCCTGCCTGGCGGCCTCGTCCCGCAGCGAGCATGGCGACCCAGCTGTCCTTCTGAGCTTCCTCCTTAACCAACTCTCATTCTGCACCTCCAGCACCAGACTGTCTATCATATATCATATAATATACAAAGAAAACCACATTAAAGTTTCCTTCCATCCTGAGTGCTAGACAACATTAATATCTCGATACTACAACCTTCTCACATTCCTTAGCCTCCTTACCTCCCTCCCCCCAGCCTCTCTCCATCTCACAGGTATACAGAGAAAAGAAAGGGGGGGAATAAGCAAAGAGTTAAGAAATATAGAAAATAATAAAAGGTAAATAAAAAGAAGTTACTGTTACATGGTGGGCAGCAGTGTAGACATTTCTTAAACATATCCATCCTGTGTGACTTAACCGTTCGACCACGCTTGCCAAATATGTTTTATATGTATATTTATTTGTGTATGATAAATAATAAGTATTAGAAAGTGGATTTTTTTTCTTCTGTTGAGTTTACTGAGAGAATCTTGAGGTTGAATTTGAAGTTAATGTGTTTTGATACTGGGATCAGCAGTGACATAAGCAAGTTTGCGGATGACACCAAAATAGGGTGTAGATTAATTCAGGGCAGGATGCAAATGCATTACAGGAGGATCTAAATAAACTGCAGGGGTGGTCTGAAAAATGGCAAATGAAATTCAACACCAGCAAGTGCAGCGTACTTAATATTGGAAGAACAAATACTTATAATGTATACAGCCTTAACAACATCAACCTAGAGTAGACGTGAAAGAGACCTAGGGGTACTGTAAGCCAAAACCTACGGCCTAGAAAACAGTGCGTTAATGTTCGAAATAAGGCAAACAGAGTATTGGGTTTTATATCTAGAAGTGTAAGTAATAAGAATGCAGAGATGTATTGCAACTATATCTTGCGCTAGTCAGGCCGCACCTCGATTATGCGGTTCAGTTCTGGTGCCCTTATTATAGAATGGATATCAATTCACTACAGTCGGTGCAGCGAAGAATGACGAAAATGATTCGGGACTTAGAAACCTTCCATATCAGGATAGGTTAAAGAAACTAAACTTGCATTCCTAGAAGACGAAGAGTGCGGGGAGATATGATGAGAAGTATTTAAGTGGGTGAAAGGAATCAATAAGGGATATAGATAAAGTTCTTATAATATCCGAGCAGGATAGGACTCGAAGCAACGGATTTAAGTTGGATAAGTTTAGGTTTAGGAGAATAGGAAGGAACTGGTTCACAAATAGGGCTGGTGGACGTGTGGAACAAGCTTAGCAACTGTGTAGTAGGTGCTGGAACGCTGGAAAAGTTCAAAAGGAAACTGGATAGATTCATGGATGATAGAGAGTGGTAGTAACTCTCGACAGGAGCTGCCATGCACAGGCCAACCGGCCTTGTGCAGACTCCTTATTTTCTTATGTTCTTATGTTCTTATACTGTTTGAGGAATATTCTGCGAGATGAAATATGTTAAATGACCAGCTATGGGGCCGAGAGGAGACGAGTAAGACACCCCCCCCACCCCGCCACCATAAGAACATAAGGAGTCTGCAATGAAACAATTGCTTTCAAGTTTATCAAGGGCCCACCTTAACCGCCTCACTTACCCCAACCGCTCCCTAAGCCTCACACCTACCTCTTCCTCACACCGCTGTCCATCCAGCCAGCCCCTACCCACATGTCCCTTCCCCCTGCAACACACACCCTGCCTCCTCACCCTGGCCCTTCCCCCTGCCTTTCTGGTCGTATTTAGTTGTTAGAACTTAGTGTAGTATTGACATATAGAGATAGATTTCTGTAAAGAGCTTCTCCAGTGACCTCTCCTCTACTATTACATCGTAGCATGTATTCGAAAGTAATGACACCTGTTCCATGACATAACCACCTATTGCTTTCTCTCTCGCTATCTTGCATGGGTTACTTTCGGATTAATGAGATAAGCGCTGTGTTACTTAATATCATGAAGGCATTTAGAGACGTGATAATGTTAAAGTAAATGATAATTCACTTCTAGACATTCAGATTAAGGAAGAATTAGAACCCCACTTGTTAGATGTCATGTTGACCCCCAATATATGATCGAGTTGGGATTTACCTGATATACCTGAGGATTATGGGTAACTGTATCTAAGGGGTGTGTACACCGCCTTCGGCCTAAAGACCCCGCGATGTCTCATACTGATCTCACTCCCAGCCAGACGTAAACCCAGTACTTGCAGGTCTAGCAAAATCCAGCCAGTGGGTGTGAAGTCCATAAGTCATGCCTCTGTCACTCACACATTAGAGGGAGACCAGATGACCATGGCGGCCGGTAAGCCGTCAGAAAGCAGCAAAGCCTGTCCAGGATGGAGGCAACAATGCATCCCTGCTGGCTCATTCCTGTCGGGGTGATGCAGAGGAACCCGACGGAGAGAATGATGTAGTGTTGCTGACAGCATGCCCTTTCGTCAACTTGGGTATGCCGGACGCAGAGATGTCCCCAGCGCGCATCCTGTCATCATTGTTCCAGCCAGGCCGCCAGCCCGACGACACCATCTGGTGGATTGCTGGTACCACAGTCATTGGGTTAGAAGCAAATATCTCAGGACGACGGAGCAGACTTGTTGCCTCTCCTTGACCCAGGGGCCTTGCCTTAATTGGCTAGGTAGGAAGGGGCTGACCTTAATTGTGTTGGTGGCATAAGAACAAAAAATAGAGTCTGCAATAGGCCGGTTGGCCTGTGCATTGTTAAGCAGCAGCTCCTGTCCTAGAAAACTACTTACCCTCTCTATCATCCATGAATCTATCTAGCCTCCTTTTAAAAACTTACCAGCATTCAGCACTTACTACAAAGTCGGTAAACTTGTTCCACTCGTCTACCACCCTATTTGGCGAACCAGTTCAACTTCCTATCTCCTCCTAAACCTAAACTTTCCCAACTTAAATCCGTTGCTCAAAATTACCTCCTGCTCAGATATTATAGAACTTTTATCTATATCCTTTATTGATTCCTTTCACCCCTTAAATATTTCTCTTATCTTCACTCTTGCTTAAAATCTTTGGGAATACAAGTTTAGTTTCTTTGACCTATCTTGATATACTGGAAGGTTTCTAAGTCCTGGAATAATTTTCGTCATTCTTCGTTGCATCGACTCCGGTGAATTGATATCCATTTACCATAATAAGGGCGCAGGGCGAACGACATAATCGAGGTGCGGCCTGGCTAGCGCAAGATATGGTTACCCAATAAGACCTCCGCACTCTTATTCACTTCTAGATATAAAACCTAATACTCTGTTTGCCTTATATCGAACATTAACCCCACTGTTTTTTTCCTAGGCTGTAGGTCCGGGCTTACAAAGTACCCTAAGTCTCTTTCACAAGTCGACTTCTCCAGGTTGATGTTGTTAAGGCTGTGCTCATCAACAGTATTTGTTCTTCAATAATAAGTACGCTGCACTTGCTGGTGTTGAATTTTCATTGCCATTTTTCCAGACCACCCCTGCAGTTTCATTTTAAATCCTCCTGTAGTGCATTTGCATCCTGCCTGAATTAATCTTGCTGCCCTATTTGTTGTCATCACCAAACTTGAAGTTATGTCACTGCTGATCCCAGTATCTAGATCGTTTCTGTAGATTATAATTAAAGAGAGGGCCTTATGCTGACCCCTGGGGGCTTTGGTTACACAGCCCCTCCAGATTCTTACCATCTATGCTGACCCTCTGGCAGACACTATCGGTGACGCGATTTTATCAATTTAAAACTTTCCCTCAATGCCATGAGCCTTAACTTTTCTCGAGCACTCTGATGCAGTACTCTCGCCAAACGCTTTGCTAGAGTCTAAATAACATCGGTGTCGTCATTATCTACTACCTCGAAGACTTTCCTAGAAAACGTCAAGCAGATTTGTTGAACAAGATTTTCCTTTGTAAACCCATGTTGAAGTGTGGGAATTAATTTGCTTTTCTCGTACGATCGGATGCTATTTGTTATAATTCATTCAAGAAATTTCTCACTATGACGTCAAACTAATTGGCCCGGTGAATTTGACGCTGATCTCTGTCTCCTGTTTGAATATGGGTACTACATTTGCCTGTTTAGCTCCGTGTCTAATGATTCTAAATATAAATTTACGAGGGGCCCCTTAATCTGTTCCTTAGACTTTCTAAACTCGAGGAAAATTTCATCTAGCCCTGAGTTTGTCTTCTTTAATTTATTTATCTTCTTAAGAACATCCTCTTTTCTGATAGTGATACTTTAATTTATCTTCTTCATTTTCCCCTAAATTTCAGTTCCTCTGGCATTTCCTCGTGAATTTCTTGTGTGAAAACTGATAAGAAGTAGCTTTTTAATCTTTGCTTATTTTCTCCACAATCTAGAGATCACTTCCTTCTCTCTGACACAAAAGGCCCCCACTTTGTCCTTGACCTTTGTCCTATGCTCTACCTGCGTCACTTGGGATTCCTTTGCTATCCTGCTATCCTGTTTTCGTAGTCCGTCTTTACCTTCCTTACATTTTTCTTGCTGTTCTAGGTAGTTCATTGCCTTTATTTCTGAGATGTACTCCTACTTTTATTTCTTAGAATTCCTTTCTTTATTCGCTGTCATGTTTAAGTGTTTTTGGTCATCTACACTTGTCATTCTTATTTGGGCCTAATTTTCTGTATGGTACATAATTTGTTCCTGTGCTTTACGTAGTATACTAGTGAATATATTATAGCCGGTGACCTCTGGGTCCCTACCGGTGACTGACCTGACTGTTCCAGAGCGACCTCACCTACAATAAATTGCCTTCTTGACCCCTCATAATCCGACGATTAGTCTGGAACTCTGACATAGTATGTTGTTTTTCGTTCCCAATTTGGGTGAACCTGATTTGCTCATGTGATCCTGTTACCTAGTTCTTTCCCTGTTTGTTCCCTGATAATGTTTCTTTATTTGTTAATACTAGGTCTAATATATTATTGTCACCTCTAGTCGGTTCTGTAATTAGTTGTTTTAAGAAAGTGGACTGTACTGCGTCTAGGAAGTCTTCAGATTCATAGTCACTATAAATGGTGTCCCCGTTAATATCTCTGAAGAAATCCCCATAATGCACAGGATGTTGTATTTTGCTGCCTCTTTCCATTTCCTGCCATAAGGACTGAGCTGCTTCTTTCCAGACTTGGGGCCTGTAAATCCTCCCCTGAGTAGTTTTCTCTTCCTTCCCGCAATTTCTACCCACATACAGATTCATTATTTCACCCCTTATTGAATTATTAATACAACATTTTAATCTATCCCTGACGAAGAATTGCGACCCTCTCCTTCCTACCTTCCCTTTCCTTGTGAAAAGGTTGTATCCTCTATGTGGTACTCATTAAAAGTTCTTGCTCGCCAGATTCATCCAGAAGTTTTCAGTGATTGCTATGACGTCTACATTTTCAGCTACGTACAACGTTTACTCAACACGTATATTTTTTTTTCAGCTCCTACTGTTTATAGTATGCATTTAAACCTACCACTTCCGTGTTCCTGTTTTACCCCTCGTCCTGAGTAACCATTTTTTCCTCCCCAGGACCTGCTTGTTTCTTACTCCCACTTACCCTGACCTCTCTCTACTGGCAGGCCTCTCTTGGAGTGACAATTTTACGTTTGGGGATGCGGAGCAACGTCTTTACCCCCGCGCGAGACAGTGTGCTCCGTCACGGCTAGCAGGTAGTCGTTGCCATAGAATGGTTGCGAGTTATCAATAAACGCCATTGCTTGCACAATGTTTTCCAGTCGGCAATTTATAGCAATTGCCCTGGACAGCCCATTCACCGCCAACTGCTCTTCCTGAAGCAGACACATACTATCGGGATCCCTCTATCTCTAACCTTCCTAAGCGCCTCCCTACCCCTTGAAAAGTTCCTCCTCCTAACCCTTTCCTATGTCGTTACACTCCCACTAAAACACACTTCTGTCTTGGTACCCCCCTGACAAAACCCTATCTATCCTCTCCAGCTACGCCTTTCTCCAGCCCCAGGAATCCACACCACCTGGTAATGTTTCCCATCTCTGCAAAAATTCTGTTTAAGAACCTCACCTGGTTGTCCCCAACTACCACGACCTTACCACTGGGTGGGGTTTGTACAACTGCCCTTACCTCTCCGCTGCTCCATAAGTACCACTCTTCTCTTCCTCTGCTTCCCCCAGCACGTGGTAGGGGTTACACATTCCACGCCCTGGTCAACCTGGGTTTGACCCCTAGTCCCCACTGGAACAACCACTCTCCCACCCTGCTCCTCTGGCCCTCCTTCGCAGGTGTCACTGCTGAGCAGGACACCACCTACCAGAGTTTGATTCAGTCTTTCAAGGGCTTCGTTCTCCCCCCTTTAAACAATCCAATCTCTCTCCTCAACTGCTCCAGCTGACTTAACAGAGTGGCCAGGGGGTCGACTTTCCTCACACACCGTCCCTCTTCCCACAACACACGATCCACGGCGGCCATTTCCTATGGTCACCGAAGTCAACGTGTTGGCTACAGTCAGCGCTTGCAACGTCCAAATTACCTGTGAACGACAGCTGCTAGAAGCAAGGAGGAGGATAGAAGTGAGAGTGGATGTCAGAGGAGTACTACTGTCCTGGAAAGCCCTTGTCCCGTTGGTAGCTCTATTAATGATCCGCCCCATAGGCACCTACCAATGTAGATTGCCGCTGTCGCCGTTGCCGCCACCGCCGCCGCCACCACCGCCACCGCCGCCGCCGCCGCCGCCACCACAACCACCTACCAACAGCAACAGCAAAATTATAACAACATTCTATAACTTTGTAAGTAAATAAAGTAAGCAGATAAACTTTGCTTATATAACTATTCTCGAGCCAGTATTCCTACTCCTCTCTCTCTTTCTCTCTTCCCACTCTCTCTTTCACTCTTATCTCTCTCTCTTACCCTCTTTCCCCTCTCGATTTATCCCTTTCACTCTCCCCCCTCTTTTTTCTCTATCTCCTTCACTCTTTCCCCCCCTCTCTCTCTTTTCTGTTTTTCTTTCTCTCTTTTCCCCTCTCTTTCCTTCTCACTTTCTTTTTCTCTCGCTTACTTTCTTCCTCTTTTTCTCCATCTTTTTCCCCTGTTTTCTCTACCTCTTCTCTCTATCATCCCCTTCATCTCTCTGTCTCTTTCTCTCTGGCATAAATGCTTACCAAAACAATACCCATTATTTAGGTAAGACATTCTATTGAAGACAAAGAGAGAGAGAGAGAGAGAGAGAGAGAGAGAGAGAGAGAGAGAGAGGAACAGGATATACAAGATAAATTTGATCTGTCAGTTTTTTTTATTGTTTTAGCTCGGTAGAATACTTTTGGTGAGTTAGGTGTTCATAGGAGGTGGGCGGGCCATCAAATATTTAGATACCTGCTAATTAAGAGGCAGAAACAGCACAGGTGAGACGGTGGTGGAAGGTTAGAAAAATCACTGTGGTGAGATGTGTGGGTGTGTGGCGTAGGCCGTGGTAGGCGGAGGTTATGTGGGTGTGGGCGGAAGATGGATGGGGTGGGCGTAGGGCGGGTTGTTGTTGGCGTTGGTCGAGTGGATGGACGGATAATGGGTTTGTATGGGTGGA